GGGTTACTAAGCAGATGCTGTGAACATACGCTTTGCTTGTGTCTGGAAATTGTGTAGCCACAAGTTACACCTGAGGTTCCTGTAACTTGAGTGGCTTTGAACACTTCCTGGCAGTATTTCATTCAAACACTGAATTTTTATTTTCTGCGTGTGCTCAATTGGCATCTACCTGTTTCTGATAGGGAAGCAGTTTTCTCGCCAGACACTTTTAAGAGCTGGAACTGCTTAGTGTTAAAGAGAGAATGTAGGCAAGAAAGTAAGCCTCAATTTCAAGTGGTAACATACCCTGGTACAAACTTCTTCAGTTTGTTCTAAACCTGCAGTAGAGCAGTTGCACTCTTCCTACAGAAGACAAATAATACAATACATTATTCTTTGACATAGCTCTGTTGTTATGTTACTATCTAGTGTTAGATATCGGGGAGGAATATTAAGTACTTGTTTCATTGCACAGAATTGCAATCTCTCTCTCTCTTTCTCTCTCTTCATGAAGTGAAACAAAGCACCAGGAGTCTAAGATGTCCTCTTCATCAGAAGAAAAAGCCATACCAGTTGCAGCAAATCCACAGCTTTCTGAATCCCTGGTGGCAGACCATGAGTGTATGTACAGGTTGTTGTTGATGTTATGTGAGTTAAGGTAGCTGAACTCCTGAAGTAAAATGTGTGGTTTGCCATGTCACTACTGGTGTCTCAGACTGAAGTAGTATGAGTTTGTTGCTGGTAGCTTCCATTAAACTGTAGAGAGAATACTCTCCTCAGCGAAAGTCCTTGTAGAAAATGCACAGTGAATGTTTCTGTTCTTGTTGAAGACATTGAGAAAAATGGTGGAATTTGAAATATTAGGAGGAGAGATCACTACTAATATTTGTGCTATGAGATCTGCTGCTCGAGCTAGTGTTTTCAAAGATGGTGCATCCTCAGTATTCTGTCTGTGAAGAATAACTTGCTACCATTGTGCCTTTCCAGCCCCGCTGTCCTTGCTTGTTCTTTTTCTCTGTGGACTTGCCAACTGATTTTCACTTTTTTTTTTTAAATTGTGGGGCTGATTCCTTTTACCAGACAGTTCTGGCTTCTAGTTTTTGGAGAAAGCCTAAATATATGTGGTGGGATGGAGAAATGTATTGTTGGCTCCTGCTTCCTCTGTTACTTGCTGTTGCTTAAACCTGAGTCATTTATATAGCAGTTAAGTTAAAATTACATAAATCTCTTCCAGCTGTGATAAGTATCCTTGACAGTGAGGGTGTGGTCAGTACTCATTCAGAAAATCACCTTGAGGAGAAGCATGTGGATTTGCCTGAAGAACATAACCTAGAAGCAGCTGAAGAAAATCTTCCTGTTCCACAGGAAGAAATAACTGTTTCTAACAATCTTCCTGAAGCCAAGGAAATTAATGTAAGTAAACTATTCTCCCACTGCCTTGAAAATAGAAAACACCTTGTAAATTGAGGACAGTCCTGTCCTACTGACAATTAGAAGGCACACAAAAACACCTCTGTTTCCTTAGCTGGTTAACACAAGTTCAAACCTCATTATGTAAGGGCAGATACATGTTTCTCCTATACATTTTCTCTACTTAGAATAGAACCTGTCAAGACTTGGGCCTTTTGAGAGCTGTAGTAGTGCAAAAAAAATGCCTAAACTATTTGTAAAAATAACCACGCTTTCATTTGGTTAACTTAAATGTTTCTTATTTGACTTAAAGAAAGAGTTTTCATGTTAAAGACAATAATAACAGAAGTTGTGGAGTGCAGCTTTTCGATACTTGGGTCCATTTACCAAATGACAAAATCATGTGGGAACCAAACTCATTTTCAGAATGATCTAGGTGCTTTGATCCGTTACTATTTGTTCCTTAGTAACATAAGCAGAATTCCCAGTAATGAGTTAATTTCAGTGTCAAGATATGTTTTGTTTTATAAAACTGTGTATTTTTAACATCTAAACATTGCCAAATACTAATTCTAAAAGGTTGTTCACATGGACCGAAAATTACAACTATAGATTCTCAAGCTGTCCCAGGTTTTTCCCCGTTCTTACTTCTGCTGGAGCTGATGAGTTATTTGGATTCATTGTGGATGTCCTCTAAGCACCACATAGAGTATACCGTGAATTTCCTGTGGGATTATACTGACAGAAATTAATAACAGTTAGAGTGAAATACAAACTTGTTACCACAAGAAAATGCTTTTCAGTGTCCCAGATTTCAGGGGTAGTTAAACAGGCAGTCACTTATTTAGCTCATCTGGGCTTTGGGATTTAGGACAATGCTGTAGAGAAGATGATTCTAAACTTGGGAATACCTAAATCACTTGTGGGAGTAAATGGAAAATTTGTGGTGGGAAGAAGGGAGCAGGCACATGAGAACATCACAAAGCTCCTGCAGTCATGGGCTGCAGTCCAGTGAAGGCTTTTCTGCCTCCATTCTAACTGGTTTTGGCTTGTCTGCCTTCACTGACTTTAGGACAAACTACTTTCTTGTTCACAGATTTGTAGGCATAAAAGGAAAGTTTATGCAGACTGGTATTTCTTGGATTTAGTTTTGAAGCATGGCATGTTGCTATAATATGCTTTAGCAACTTTTGGCAAGGCAAAAGGCAGGAAAATAAGCAGATTCTATGGAGACTCCCATTGAGTGTCTTTTTCCTTCTGCCATTGTTGGTTAGCACTGCGACTTAGAAGGCTGGGCAAAGGTCTTGACCTATTGATTAAATTATCTTGACCATTTGAGTCACTTGAAATACGTAAGATACTACTTTTGTTCGCAACATAAAAGCTTGAGTATCTCATGGATCTAGAAGGAAGGGATAACTGCTCAGTACAGAGAACCACAAAACATGAGGAAGGTATTTAGAATGTATGTGTTGTCTCATGCAATCCAAGTGATTCCTTAAAGTGCAGTGTTGAGCTGTCAGATGCGATACTAAGTGTTGGAGTCAAAATTATCATGACCGAAACTTTAAACTCTGGGGACATCGTTGTATTTTACCCTGTTAGATGCAGAGTCGGTCACTCTCAATTTGTATTCAATCCAGAAAGCACTGGAATGTGATGACTACTGACAGTTGTGTATACAGCCTGTATTGTAAATACTGCTCACTTTGTTCAGGGGTGGTGTCAAATTGTTATTCATGAACAGAAACATGAGAAATGGAGCAGCATGTGATTGCGTACGCGAAATACTCTTGTTCTCTGTCCCTTAAACACATAAACTTTTGTCTGTAGCTGAGAGAACATTGTATGTTTCTAACTTTACCTTCAGTGGTGATATGAAAGGAAAAGCAGCATTTCACTGTCCTCAGTTTCATCTGGCTCAGTTTGAAGTTTGTTTGTTTAGTAATTAATAATGCATTAACAGACATCTTTTAACTTTAGGTTGTTGAAGATAGTGGAGTTAAGGCACAAACCTCAGAAGTCCCTGAAACATCACCATATAGTGAACTACATCCATCAGGCAGCCTTCAATATAGCTATGATACAATAGAGCAACAGTTTGCATGTGATTTGCCGGATAATCAAGATGGTATATGTGATGCAGCTGAGGGAGATGGAGAGCTTTTTATACCTCAGAGTAATTTTACTTTAGTCTTGGAAGGAGAAGAAGGTGAAGCGGAGATGGGAGACCCTGAATTAGTAGATGCTTCCCAACCGGCTGGCACAACAACAGAGGAAAAACCTGTGAACAATTTAGGAAATACTGAAAACCAAGAACATGTTACAAACTCTGTGTCCACTGTAACTAGTGATCAGGAATCTCAAAACATTGCAGAATCGCTCCCATATGTGCCTGAACCCATTAAGACAGCTATTGCTGAGAACTTACTGGATGTGATCAAAGACACAAGAAGTAAAGAATTTACATCTGAAGTTGTAGAACAATCTATTCATGAAACCATAGGTAAGAAGGTAACTAGATTGCAGAAGGCAAAAGCTCCCTTAATGACTATGCCAGAAGGAGTGGAAGATGAATCCAGCAGACATCAAGTAGAGTGTGTCATCACTCCTAGAACACGCACAAGGGGACAACTGAGTAGAAGTTCAAGTATTCCATTGGCAGGTGATCAACAACTACTGAAGACAGACAAACCAGTTCTGTTTGGACTGTCTCCTAGGAGAAGTACGAGGCGAACCAAAGAAGCATCCAAGACTTTGAGTCTTCAAACAGAAGAAAATGCTCAAGATGAGCAAATACCTGTGATGCCTGTTACTCCTAGGAGAGGTAGGAGGCCTAAACAGGCTAATATAGAAAAAGTAGAAAGCAGCCATTCTGACAGACAAACATTGTCTGTCAGTACACAGTCCATAGCCGTTACTCCAAGAAGAGGATTAAGGAGAGCAAAGGAAGCTGCCTCCGAACTCTTGGAAGAGGCTAATGAAGAAACATCTCTTGCTGAAGGTAGCATTATTGCTTCTGCTACTTCCAAAAGGACTAGAGGAGGGAAACATTCAGCAGGAGATCAAGAAAGTGGCCAGATTGACACTGATCATAAGAGAAAAATGGCAGTCAGTCCCAGTAGAAGTGTGAGAAAAGTGAAAAGTATTAGTTTACAATTTACTGAAAATATTGTCAAACATCAAGAGGTGCAGCCTAGTGACCAGCTCATTTTAACTGGGCCAAGTAAAAGAGGCAGAAGAAGAAAGATGAGTTCATCAGAGGTTTCAGAAAATTCTGACTTTGATCTCTTTAAGTCATCACTTCCTCAAACAGAATTTAAACTTCCTGTCACTCCTAGAAGAAGTGCAAGGAAGCAGCTAGAAAATCTCTTGGCAGACACAGAATCTGCCTCTACTCAGGAAGACATACATTCAGGTGGGAAAGTGGAAATCCTTGATACACCTAGGAGAAGAACAAGAAGAGTTCCACAAGCAAAACCAGAAAAAAGGGATACGCGTGAGCAAACACCTGCCCAGCCAAAGGAGGAATCAACCACACCCAGGAATACAGTAAGGACAGGGCGTCGGGGCAGAAAGAGACGATCAGTATTGGAGGAGAGCACAGGGGAGGAGGCCTTCCCCCGAGGACCTGGGGGCAGTCCTTTGCTGCTTGAAGACATAAACCCATCAGGACATGATGAAACATCAAGAACTTTAACAGATCGTATTACAAGAACCAAATCCCGCAAAACTGCTATGTGTCAGAAACTGTCTGTTGAGGAAAATGAATCCTTCCTTTTTTCTCCTCCTCTCACAAAGCTGACAAAGAAATTCAAAGGTAGGTGTACTATGTTTATGTGCAAGGTAGGTCATACAGCTGTTTTGTAATTCACAGAAAACAGGCTATGAGATTGCATTAAGTATTGTAAAGAACGTAACCATGCAAAATAAAAAAAATTTGGAAAGAGGCAGTTAGTCTTTTTTCAGGACAGTACATGACTGGCTGGTTAGTTGTGGTGGAAAGAGATGAGGAGGCTGATCTGAGTAGAGTGAAATGAAACTTAAGCTGAATTTTTGTCATAAGCTTAATTTCTATCAGTTTTGAAAACTGGAGGGTATCTGTTAATACACGATTGCTATCCTTCCTCCTAACAGAGAAATAAAGGAGACATGCTTCCAAATTGTGTTCACTTTTTAACTTTAAAATGAGCTGTGTGTTGGAACAAACTATACAGCTGTATAATTCTGTGATTGTTTTTCCCAGGCATATACTTTGTTAGTGAAGTTACTGCACACTTCTTTTTACTAGAGTATCACAGAATCATTAAGGTTGGAAAAGACCTTTAAGATCATAAAAGTCCAACCATCAACCCATTTCCACCATGCCCACTAAACCATGTCCCAAAGTGCCACATCTACACGTTTTTTGAACACTTCCAGGGATGGTGACTCCACCACCTCCCTGGGCAGCCTGTTCCAATGCTTGACTACCCTCTCAGTGAAGAAATTTTTCCTAATATCCAAGCTAAACCTCCCCTGGCACAACTTGAGGCCATTTCCTCTCGTCCTATCACTAGTTACTTGGGAGAAGAGACCAACACCCTTGTCTCCACAACCCCCTTTCAGGTAGTTGTAGAGAGTGATAAGGTCTCCCCTCAGCCTTCTTTCCTCCAGACTAAACAACCTTGTTTCCAGACCCTTCACCAGCTTTGTTGCTCTTTGGACATGCTCGAGCACCTCAGCATCCTTCTTGTAGTGAGGGGCCCAAAACTGAACACAGTATTCAAAGTGCGGCCTCACCTGGGATGAGTACAGGGACGTGATCACTTCCCTACTCCTGCTGGCCACACTATTTCTGATGAGCCCGTGCTAAAATATCTTTTTGAGATGTGTGAGGACTGTTGATGCCTCTTGAGCATGGTATCTTTGATTATGTCAGTGCAGGTAAAATCACTACACTGGTTTATTTTTGTTTAACAATTTACTGTATAAGAGCAGATCCCAAAAGGCAGTTACTAGGGGAAAAATACCTCCACATTGAGTGTTTATAAACCTGATTGGAACTTTTTATTTTGGGAAGGTATTGTGCTCTTGATTATCATCTGTAATTTAATGTCACTGTCCTTTATGTATAATGCTACATGCATGTTAACAATAGATTGTCATTTTAGCTGGAAAAGCAGACCATCCTGTGCAGCTTAAGGATTTAGACCCAGACTTGTCTTCTCAATTTGTCTTTTCACCCCCTCTTTTGAGGCCAAGGAGAATAAATGTATCGAGCATTTCCCGAATTGTGAAAGAGCCAGTAAGTAAAAACTCTAATTGTGTCATGTTCTTGATTTTTGCTGTGTACCACTTTTTCAGATCATACTTTGCAATGCCTTGCCTTTTTCATTGAATGTATATCTAAAAAGAGAGCTTTAAATTAATCAGCTAAACAATTTATTTTTGATTTTTCTTTCATGAAAACTAGCTACAAAAATCACTTTTGAATCTATGTATGTCAAGAATAAATACTGCTTTGCCTTTAACAAAAGGCACAGTGGCTTTTTTTAAACTTACTTGGTGTGTTAACTGTTAATTTCAGAACTTGAACTTTTAGGATGGTACAATAATTTGAGATGGAACGTCTGTTTTTGCAGAGGGAAACTGCAATGCTTTTGGAAATAACTTTGTCATGACTTCTTCATGAGAGAAACATTAATTTGTATTCTGTAGAAGTGTAAGACCGTGTGCATGAGTAATGTTTTTGTTGCCTTAACATAGGAGCTTCCAGCTAAAGAGGAAGATACCCAGTCCATAGAGTCTGTGGGAAAGCAAAAACTGAAGAGAGGTAGAACTGCAAAATCAAAAATGAAGAAAGCGAGCAAGTATGAAATTCTTTTTGAACACTTATTCACATTCCTTTATTGTGGTATTCATTCAGTTCTTAGCCCCTTAACTTTCTCTTTCTCGCTTGGCTGTGCAGTTCCACTTCGACTTTACGAACCTGTTCAGCTTGCTGGTCTAATGGGCACCTTTTTCCCCACTTACCAGTTTAGGTCTCTAATGGAAACAGAAGAGGGCAGGGATAGAAAACGGCAAGTGGATACTACTCTTTGCAATGATAGCATGCTCTTATGTTGTCTTAATCCACCTTATGAAACCATACTCTTACAGTCCTTAGTTCCCCATACAAGGCAAGAGGGGGTCAGACAATGAGTGAAGAGAACTTCTTGTTTCTGGACATGTCTTCTGATTCCTTCTGGAAAAATTGTTTGAGGACATTTACCTCTTAAAAGGGGGGCTCTAAAAGCTCATGAATCGTGACTGAGAATGCTTGGGACAGTCTGGTAAGGAATGAAAGCAAAAGGAAGCTTATTTATCTCTTTCCTGCCTTGATCCTATCTACAAAGAAGCCCATAAATAAATCTTCGGCATTGGTTTTGTAATCCCATGTGTTTTTTTTTTTTTTTTTCTTTTTCCTCTACTAAATACTGTTGGTGAGTAAAAAAATGAATTTGATACTTCTCTTTCTTTTCAGATCAACGATAAAAGAAGGTTCTTGGTCACCTCCACCAGTGGAAATAAAATTCATCTCTCCTTTTGGAAGTCCAGTTGATGGAACAAAAAGCAAACAGAAAGAAACTGGAGACACGGCAGAGAAGATTCTACGAAAGAACAAAAAAAGACTGTCTAATTTTCCAAAGCCAGTTGTGCGCCGGAAGATGCTGTAACTGTTTTTTAAGTTTATAATGTACACCACTGTTTGTAAAGTCATCAATATTGTGTGGATTAGTAAAAAAATTATCATCTAATTTGGAAGAGATAATTTATATAAATTATTGTAAAATTTCATAAACAAATGGTCTTCAATAAGTAACTCCATATGGAGTGTGATTTCCTCAGTCAATGCAGTTTTCTATTTTATATTAAGACTTCATACATTTATATAATATGTAAATATAGCTTATTTTAGGAATGTTAAATAAAAATGTATACTTCACAATACGCTTACTGTCTGATAGCTTTTTGAGGGAATAATGGGTTAAAATGCCTGGGTTGCTCAGAAATTTTAGTATTGGTTTGCAAGATTGGTCTCACTTTTGAGGGTCAGCAAAAAACTTTTTAAGCTTTTTAAAAGTTTGCTTAGAATTCCTATAACAAGTATACATCTAAAACATACTAGTTTAAATTTTATAAATGATCTTTGACCTTCTGGCACAAGTAATTTGGCTCGCAATACAAACTGGTAATTCCTCATGTTCGTGGTTAAGTTGTACTGTATTGAAGTCAGAATGTAAACAATTGTACTTAAGCTGTGCAATATTTTTTTCTATTTGTCTTAAACTTTGGGAAAGATGCTCCTTAGTTCATAAAACTAGATCACACCTCAGATGTTTCACTATTTTTTACAATTTTTTGTCGGCAAAAAATTTAAGTGTATAGAGGGTATGATGCTTACAGTAGCATATAAAATTTAAAAGGATATTACTCACGTACTTTGAAATTTGAGCCAAAATTATTTTCATAAGGGTAGTAGGAACACTACTATACTTGAAATAATGATTGTCTGTAAACGTATTTTGCAATATTTGAAGCCTGCATATCACAGCACTGAAAACCTCATGGTAAAACTAATATAATAGTCTGAAAAAGGTACAAAAATGTACAGAAATCTTAGTTACAAACCATATTTTTGAATAATTATTTGATTAATAACCTTGGGTTATGGAGTAAATGTCCCTATAAAGCTTCAATTTGTAAATATAAATTCAAAAAACTATTCTTTTAAAAACAGACATGGAAGTACTGTTTTGATGTGCAGTCTTTTAGACAATGGATTATTTTTAAGTATGTTAATTTATATATGGATGCAACTTTGAAGACTACAGAATGGTGGAACCTGGCATTAAACTTCTCAATTAGTAAAAAAATACTACAGTTATTCTAAGAAATAATTTATTGGTTAACTAATACCTTGTGCATAAAGCATGAATGTATTAATAACAGACTAAGCTTGTAAAAGAAGATTCTTCTGGGGCCATGATTTTCTATCTCAGAACAGATCATTCTAGCGAAGCAGTTGCACGCACTTGGATATTTTTCTCCTTGGGAGTATTCATGACTGAATGAAAGCCTAAAAAAAAAAAAGCCAAATGTTGACAGTGTGAAAGTGTCAGTTCGAGTGAGACCTTTCAGTCAGGTTAGTAATTATTTGCTCTGAATATTTTGTACTTCAACTACGATATAAATATGGTCAAAGAGGAAGGGGGAGGAGTTCTGGCAATATTTTTTTTTTTTTAAATTCACAGTATACAGAAATGCAGTGAATAGCTCAGAAAAGGGTAAAAGATCAAACTGTCAAAACTGGAGTAGAAAATGGATGTCAAATCTGAATATGTGTTTTGTGTAGTACACGAGTATAAAATGCTCTGCTGATCAAATAGAATTGACTGCTGAAATGCTAGTGAAGGTTGCTTAATAAGGTTTTAACATGTTTCTGTCATTTATACTTACAGTATATTTTTTGGTATGAAAATCAGAACAAATGAAAGCATAATATTAGCTAATTTTATTACTTATTTGTAGTAATTTTTAGCCTCTTTATTTCATAACCAGCTCAGCTGAATTATCCTCATTTGGCAGTGCTTTGGAGGAAAAAAGAAAGTAGTTATAACAGAAAATTGGCATGAGATTTAATAACTTCCTAAAGGTTTGTAATAATCTAGTAGTTCTTTTACTTTAAAGGAGTCTTAATCCAATTATATGTTAAAATGTTTTCCTCCGTTTTTTTCAGTTACTTGGATTCAGTGCATAGTTCTTTGGTGATGATGAATTTCCCCAGGGAGCAGTTTAAAAAGAATAGGAGTGTAAGCATAATGTGTAACAAGGAATGGAATTTCAGAAAGTTGAAGGACATAGAAGGAAATGGAAGCAAAAACAGGCACTGGGAATATTTATTTAGAGCCTGAGAAAAAAAAAAGCAGCTAGCTAACAGATGGCAACTCAAGGATGGGTTTATAATGAAGTGGAGAAAATAGATTTTACTTGGGTGTTTTTTGGGTAGGCCTGCTACAAGTATGTGAAGGGTAGAGTGGAAAAGATCCTTTCAACAGTGGTGAGAGAGATTCAGTGCATGGGCAGTGCTTCTAAACAGTGAGGATGAATTGGGAAGAAAATTGCCGTTTAAAAGATTAAAAATGGGTTGGGGTGAGTGGCTGAGCAGGCTAGGAGTCTTAATATGAGAATTGCAGGTGCTTACACATGTATCAGAAAGGAAGATAATACTCATGGTGCCAGAGAAGGGCATGAGGGGCCTGTGAAAGAAAGAGAGGTGATGGCTCGTTGTGGTGGATGCATGCAGAAGGCTCTAGGGGCATAGAGCAGCAATTTTCTTATGTGCAAGATGAGAATTTCCCAGGAACTACTCGGTACAGTTCATCACTAAGTGGAGTAATTCTGAAGTTTTTTTGTAGAAAATATAATTGCTTGAGGAGTGTGTGTTTTTCTCTCCCTAAAGAAAAGCTAGAATTTCTTAAGAGTGTTTTGGTGCATCTGCTTTGATCTAATGTCAGATGGCTAAAAGCTGAAGCTAAATTGTGCATTTGTAGCTTTGTGCCTGTAACCGTGGAGAAAATTCCACTGGGAGGTTGACTGCCTTGGGATAGCAGACTGTCACCTTTCAGAAAGAATAAACACAGGTGTAATGGCAGATTTCCAGGAAGCACATAGTAGGAGATACTAGTGAAGGGAAAATTAATATTGATAAGATTAAGGGCTGTTAGAACTGAATTTGTCAAAAAAAGAAATGTTTCAGTAGAAATGATTCCCTGAGTTATCTCAGAGTGTCAACACAAATATTCATAAGATGTTTTTTCTTCAAATGTTCAGAAGCAAAGGCTTATGAAAGTATTCATTCCAGGTTATAACATGAAGGAGAATTAAAGCAAATCTATTTTAGTTTTGATAGCCACTTGGTGCTTAAAGCATTAACTGACTCGCATTGACTTAGTGTATTTGCTGTAGTATTTGTACATGCCTCATGTGCAATTAAGGCCTCAGATACCTGAGTAGTTGAATCCCCTGTCAGAACTTCCTCTCATGGAAGACTACTCTCGGGGTTGTCAGCGCAATAAATTTGTTTGCTGCAATTTCATCCGTTCCCATGTAGTTTATCAGAAGTAGCTTAGTTGTTGATTTCTGGTGGGGGCAAAACAAGCTCCAGGCAGAAGCCAATCCATAGTTCCTCATGAGTAGTTAGGCAATGCTTGTAACCTGTTAGTCTAGGCCAATCTCAACATACTATGAAGTAATAGAATTTCAAGTAGTAAGAGAGCATTTGTTTCTTATTTTGTTTGTACTTTTGTCTTCTGTGCAAAACTTGCAGGTTTCTATTCCAGGACTGCTTTTTCCACCAAAGTAGTCAAGATAACAAGTCTCTTTGATACGCCTGGAGATAAATGTACTGTGGTTCCTTTTGAATTAAAGCTGTTCCTGAAATAAAATGCATTTTCCAGTGCACTGTGCTGTGTGGATGACCTGTACATGAGGTAGAGGGGAAAAATGCAAGTTACGGTTACTGATGTGTCTGTTCGGGTCACTCCTCGGCTGTGTTATCACCTGGCATGGTTCAAGAGCAGGCTTATGCCACAGCGGTCATTGGTGTGGTATGCATTGCTGTTGAACTTGTTTTAAATCCATACTAACACATGAATTATTAGTGAGTGACTGATTGCTTGTATTTTGATACTACGATTGTAATTTTAATACGCAGGAAGAGAAGGATGCAGGAAGTAGGTGTGTGATTTCTATGAACACCAATAGCACAAACATATATGACCTTAGGCATCCAGGGCACAGGAAGACCTTTACTTTTGACCTGCCCTATTGGTGTCATAGTGGCTTCCTAAAGGATAAGAATGCCATGCTCATCTCAGCAGGATCCAACACTTACGCAGGCCAGGTAAGATTTTATTCAAAGAACCAATTAAAAGCAATTTTACCTAATACACAGTTGTAGACTGGTCAGTTTGTTTCTCTCCTGTTATTAACCTTCATGTAAGGGTAATGCAAATGACTGGCATATATCAGTTTACTGGTTTGAAGCACTATCTAGATTTTTATGTACATTTCTGTCATCCTGGAACTCAGTATTACTTTCAAGTGTATTTGCAAATCTTGATTCCTTATTTAAACTATTAGTGGGCCACTCCTACTGGCTAGCAGTGCTTGTGTATGCATTTGCTTGCTCATCTGTGAGGAGGATGCACTTACTAATTTTTTAGAGACAGGTCTGTTGTGATCTTGGTCAAGGAGTGATGGAGAATATCTGGCAAGATTATAAAGCTGCTCTGCTGGCATATGGTCAGACCAGCTCAGGGAAGAGCTATACGATGATCGGATGTGGTGCAGAGGCCTGTTGTGTGTGGAGAGCTCTTCAAAGCCGCCTGGAATCGGGAACAGAACAAGCGGTGCCGAGTGGGATTAGCACAAAGCGTTATTTATTTCCAAGATCTTTCCAAGGTGTCAAATTAGCAAAAATAGAAACTGTGAGTAGATGGAGCAACTTGCAGTACAAGCCACAGTGGATCCTATAAAAAGGTGTTGGCTAAAAAGTTGATGTAGTACAGCTACCACCTCAGTCAAGAAAATTAATGCTTTCTTCTGTACACCTTTATAGGGTACAGAAGCTTTATAGTGCCATACCTCTCCTATGCAGTAACAGTGATGTTTGTAGCCTTGCAGTACAGCTTTTGCACTTCTGCATTTGTAGTCCAGTGGATTCTAGCACTGCTGAATCCAGCAGAAAGGTTCACTCCTGTACAGTCACGCCTTTGGTCTACAAAAATACCACCCTGGTTACTGAAGGCTGCTTGTGATTTACTCCCGTGTTACTTCTCTTCAGAAAGAGCACTTTGTTTTCCCTAACTAGCTTCCCCAGCTCTGTGCTAGCAGAAATGATGCAAGGATGCCATGTGTGAACCTGTTTCTGTTTCCCTTTGTCATCC